TCTTTCTTTCTTTCTTTCTTTCTCATAACTGTCTTGCAGTTATCAAGAGGCAAGTGACTTGTAATACATGAACTTGAAAAGTTGAATTGTGACGCATGATCTTACTAATCTTCAGCTAAATTGCAGTTTACACTGCAATAAACATGGGATGTTTTTGTTTGATAAAGCATATAAGCATAGTTTGTTTTCTGTTCCTCAGAAATTGATATGATATTCTTCCTGCTGGAAGATTTTCTGAGAAAACTTACAGTTTTTCTGTGCAGTGGTTATATAATTTTTAAGAAAATATAATGTTAAGGAAATCTTTATGCCAGTTATCCCATCTGGCTAGAAGCTTTTTTGTTTGTTTTTAATTGCATAGTACAATCAGTCACTGGAAAGGATCAAATAGCAGAAAGTGTTAAAATATCCTTTCAAAGTCTTTTTTGTTAACTGGACATGAGCATATAAATAAAGGTTCAAGAAAGTAAGAACTCTTCACAGTATATGTTTTAGAAGTCACAGGAAAATGTGCTTAATAAAATAGCATGCTTGCCTTAGTTGTGTATGCTAAGTTGAACAGCTAAGAATACTGTTGATGACTTTTTCATTTTTATTGTAGCTTAAAATGCTAAAAAGTGACTTAAAATTGTGCTGGGTCATTAATATCAAGATCTATTTCAGTACATCTTTTTAACATGGACTGCTTTTTCAAAAATTAATCTCAAATATGCTGTTCATATATGCAAATAAACCATTAATTTAATGATTATGTCTGTGGTTTTAATTATGTTTCGCAGATACCTTTAGTCTTTGATCAGAGCCCTTTTGTGTTACGTACAGTACAAGGCCAGATGGCTTCTACTTCAAAGACTCTATTAAGCATAAAACAAGAAATAAGGAAATAACGGTGTGGGAAGGGTAATATCCATGGACAGACCAAATCTCTGAATGGTCAGCCTCATAGTCCTTTTTTAGGAGATAAGCATCGGATAGAGGCATTTGGTTTGTATGGAGCTCTTCCTGTGTTTGTGGATTGGAGTGCCAGGAGGTGAGAAAGGTAGAAAGAAGATCCTCAGAGAAACCTGTGAAAATTGAAGAAAGGATTAGTGATACTGTGAAGGGCACACTTGGAGGGCATTTACTCAAGTAGGAAGAAAGCTAGGAGAGCAAGATTTCAAAAAGATTATGGTTGACTGCTAAGGAAGGTGAAGAGAGTATTAATGCTGATCTTTGTCTAGGAAGGAGTCTTTTGATTTTAAAATGGGTGTCAAATGGAAGTCTGGGAAAGACAGAAAGAGGTGGAGGACAAATTCCAGACAGTGTCTGCAAAGACTATTTATAGCAAGTGTGAAGATCAAACAGATGGATCATATTTAAATATGCAAATGATGTAGATTGCTGAAGAAGAGAAAGCATGTGTGTATTGCGAGTGGGAGGAGGAAGCCTTCAGGAGAAGGTGCAAAGGAGATCTAGAAATAGGATTTGGGGGTTTAGATGAGAAAAGGAGATGAAAATCTTAAGTAATGGGGAAATGAGATTTTTAAACACCCATCACCCCTATTTTCTTTTGGAAGAAATAGGTGAGATTTTATATAAGGAGAAAAAAATTCAAGATAGGTAAAAGATTAAAGAGTAAGTCAAGTAGTAAAATTACAGCTATGATGGTTTACAGTATTCTCTGCTACACACAAACAGGAACACTTCATTAGAAGTAAAATGTTCTATAGCATAACATTGTATATGCAAGACATTAGAAATCCTTTTAATATTATTTACTTACTATTTGCCTATTTGTTCATATTTGAATTAGCTATTTGCTGATATTTATGATTTTTAAGCACAACAGAATTTGAATTATTTATTCTTTAGAACCCCAATAGTTGAATAGAATCTATTCTAAATGGAATTTTCTAGAATTGCAAATGGATATTATGTTTGTAAGTACCTAATTTAGTAACTTTATGAATTCCAAACCTTCCTTAATCACTGCTTGCCATTACCAAGATCTGAAAATGTAATTGATTTTTTACTTAGTATATTTCATAATTGAGATACACTATTTCAAGGATTGTTTTAATTACAAATAATTATTTGTATCTGGTTTACAGAAATTTCAAGACATTGAAGAAACACATCTTCTTCATATGAAAGAGATAATAGAATCATTGTCAAATACTATAAAAGAAATTCATTTGCAAATAGGAGAGGTAATTTTATATGAATATTTTTATTCAACTATAATATGTATTTTTCTGAATTATTGATTGAAACATTTCTTATTGTCTTGGCGATATTGCACCTTTCAAATGATAGTAGCTTTTTAAAGCAGAGGGAGTTGAAGGAGATAAACAGAATTAGTCCAGGGGTTCAAGCAAGATTTTGAAGTAGGTTTGGGTCTTTTTGCCAGAAACATCAAACGTTATATGGGTATTGAAATTGTTTGGAAGATATTTGGAGGACCTTTCAGTATCTGCTAAATTTCCATTTTAATCTTTTAATTAAATAGCTAAATAAATAATGATGCTTTAACCAAAAACTTAAATCACATCAGTCTGAAAAGTTTCAGAATTTTAGGCAGAAAAAGTGCTTCAGTAACAGTATTTTAATAAGCTTTTAGAGTATCATTTCTTTAGATGCATTTTTAAGTAATAATTCTTATAAGTAGTCCTTTTTTTGGATATGTTGAAATGTAGTTATATTTGTGAACATTTAAAATTTGAGTCACTGTGCTCCTCGCTTAATTTTGAGATTGTCTGCTAGTGTGTGGTGATCACAAGGATAATGCTGTTTATTTCTAAACCGTATCTATACCACTGTTGGAAAGGCTTTGTAGTATTAGCCTATGTTTTCTTCCTTGCCAGATCAAATTCGTTCCAGCAGTAATGTTTTTACTCAAGCAGGTGGGAAGAGTGATAATGCCATGGTGAATGTTCACACCATGGTCACACCCATACTGGGCTGATTTAAGAGACTGCCTGTCTTTCTAACATTGTAGTGGGACATGTTACTATCAGAAACTCAGAAAACTGTATATATCCTAGACCAGCCATCTACATACATGGTTTCTTTCCTGATTTGTATCTGTCCTGGTACACACACTTAGTAGTGTTAAAGTGATGAAGGGATTTTCCAGATAAAATGCCTGTAAACCTTTTAATATATTCTAGAGGGAAGCATTTTGAACACTAAACCTAGAGAAAACCTAATCACTTCTTCAATTGGCTACCTTTTACAGGTGCATGAAGAGTTTATTAATAACATGACAAATACTACAGTTGAGAGTTTAATACAGAAATTTGCTGAATCAAAAGGAACTGGCAAGGAACGACCTGGTAAGAGATTAAACATAAATGAACAGGGAATATTAATTTTGAAACTGTTAGTTTCAACTCCTAGTGCAAGCTCAAACCCTATGTTACACATTTGCAATGTATTTACCAGCTGAAGTTTCCATAGTTTGTTTAGCTTTTATATTAAATGATTCGTAAAAATTCAACAATACATAATTTACTGCATTTGTGTAGAATATGTGTAGTAGTAGTAGTAGTGTGTAGAGCTGAGTCCCTGTACATAGGCCTTCAACAAAATTCTTAAAACTGTAGTGTTGGATAGTTCATCGGTAAAAATTTTGAATAAATTTAAGTTCCTTTCACAGGCTTACTCTACTATGTGCCTACTATGTACTCTACTATGTGTTACTCTACTATGCATAAAAATTATCTCCAAATTTTATTTAAGAAGTTTATATTCAGGATATATTCAAATCAGATGGCTATAAACTGATGCAGCTGTTACAGCAGTTCTGCAAGCAGCTTTATTTGATTAATATACAAAACCCATCATTTTAATAGATTATACATAAATAACTCATTTTCTCTTTATTAAGAAGTAAAATTATCGTACTCGCTGAAAGTTCTACTTATTGGCATGGTGTATAAAACTTTCCTGGATTGATATAGGAAGGGAATCTAATATTACATCTGTCTATCATTACAGGAGAAATACATGATTCACTTTAAATATTTGACATGAATATATTGTCATCTAGGTATGCAATTAAAGAAATTAGGTAGTACCACTTTCAAAGTTGGAAGTCCTGGTTAGCATCTCTGCTTTCTAACACAGAAGCTCATAGGTTTTTTTCAGAGCAAAGATAGATCTTGAGCATTACTAACATCTACCTAACAAGGTAGATCTTGAGCATTAATGCTAAATTAAGTAAGGTTAGTGGGTATCTTATTATGCCTCTCTGTTAGAGTAGCTAACAGAGGACCTCTGTTGGGTTCTATAATCTGGCATTGTTTCTATTCTCTCTGTAACCTGATAATGCCCATGCAAGAGTAGGCCGAGGTAAGATTTGTATATGGAATTTTTTTTTTAATAGTTCCTGTAAATTATACATTTTTTTTCAATGAAGAATAAGAAAGAAAAAGCATGAACTTTAGGAATTCAAGCTTAGTTGAACCAATGACAGGACAGATATGAAAATTCATTATTCACACCTTTTTTAGTAGCTATTAAGATGTTGTGATTGTGCACTTGTTTGCTACTTCACAGAGTTCATCAAATCCCATTTGTATTTTCTACGGTCAAATTAAAGCTTTTTTTTCATGCCAAATTTAGTTTCTCCAATCATTACAGCTATTTTGACTGCAAAGGATTTTAAGTAAAGTTTGCATTTTCAGTATGGAAATGTGCACACTTTTTTCTAGAGTGGCATTATTGTACTTACATAAACATACAGTAGCCATGGTGCAGAGGGAAAATATGGGTAAGTTCTGCAGAATAATATGTTCAAAGATAGGAGGTAGAAACACTGTAATGCTAATTTTGGTTGCCATTTCTTATTGTATTCACTTTATTAACTTAAAATCAGATCTACACTTTAGACAATTACAAAGAATTAGAAGGCAAAATGAGATACTGATCCTCTAAGAAACAGAATATTGGTCCTCTAAACAGAAACATGCAGTGTGGGAGAGTGCCTTTTTTGATTCAAAAAAATACTGTTCTGCAATTGACAACTGTTGTTAATAGCAGGTTATTCTAACTCATGAAGCACCCACAAGGAGGCTTTCTGGGATGCAAATTAACTCATTAGGATAGAGAAAGAAGCGACTTTTCTGTTAAATCTTAAAATATTCAGTGTGTAAAAATGATGAGAATATAGTTCATTTGGTACAGAGCGAGGAAAAAAAGGCAGAAAAAAAATCCCAGAACTATACAGGCATTGTTCCTTCAGCTTCCTAGATCCCTTTTTTCCTACCATATAATTTGTGGGCTAAAATACTACATCAGTTCGTGGGTGGCATTGTGAAATACTAAATTTGGAGAACAAATAAACTAGAATAATGGAAAACAAAGTATATTTTATTTTTAGTACGTTTTTAGTTGTATTTATAATACTTTAAAACAAGAGCTCACTTATGTACATATGTAAAAATAAGAATGAATCTGAGGAAAAGTACTGTAGGAGGACTGTTCTGCTGTGTGGATTATGAACAACAGCAAAGCTCCAGGCAGCTCTCATCTGCATATATGAGACCTCTCTGTCTTAGGTTTTTATTCTTTGTCCTTTATATTATATGGGCTCCCTCTGGTGGCTAATTTGTTACCTGAAGACTTTGAAAAAAAAAAAGGGGGGGGGGGCTTTCAGAGTATAGTACTCTATTTCCTAGTACAAATAATGTTCTTTCAACTACTAATGCTTTGCCTATTTTTAAAAATAATTTATGGACTTCTTTCCAATGGCTATATTCTAACTTTTACCTAAATTACTTAGTTAACTTTATCAGCTAATTTCTACTAAATTTATACATTATTTATAGTTTTAGTATTAATACAGTATTTTAAGAAGTTGTATTCGCTTTTTTCTCAACTATATTCCACATAACGAATAGCAACACAGCTGCAGTTGCAAATCTTTTAATTTTAACTAAAAAAAAAACCCTTAAAAATATAAAACAATGTATTTTAAAAAGGGGGTGCGAGATGACAAGACCTTTACCTTGAATCTAATACTATGTTACACCTTCAAGTCGGGCATCAGGTCAGAATTTAATGTTTTCTGAACAGTTTGTGAAGATACGCTTACTTTTTGGTCTACATCAGTTAGAAGATGTTTTTATCACTGATAGGGTGCTACAGAGTTGCCAGAAAGCCAATTAGCCCAGGTTTGACTCATTTCAGAAAAGTCAATTTTCTGTTGGTACTGAGTTACTGCTTCATCCTCCTTGGAATATTCACAAATAGTATGATGCAAAACGTCTATTGCTTCCACCTAGCATGTTTGTTTAGAGCTGATCAGTATTCCAGATTAGTGACATACTGATGGCTTCTAGCTTTATTTACAAATCTTCTAATCATCCATGAAGTATTTGGTTTCCCCATTATTCCAGAATGAAAAATTGATGCTACATAAAACACAAACTGCTCAGAAGTGTGACCTCACGTTCTTCTAAGGTCTTCTCTCAGAAGTTGGCAGGATATATCATGCACTAGTGGTGTTTCCAAATACCCGTGTAGCTATGGCATAGTTATGAATGATTTCCATTTTTAGCTCCTGGATTACTGTGCTCTCCTCGTGTGAATCATCTGTGCTTGTTTGTCCCTATATTAGTTTTTGCCCACTACACTGTACCCAGAAGCTAGCTTTGAAGGCCAAATGTGAAGTCTCAGCTGTGCTGCATTGTCTTGTCTGTGCTGCTTGCTCTTGTCTTAAAAAAAAAAAAAAAAAAAAAAAAAAAAAAAAAACACCCAAGAGCAAAAACCAAATCTAGATGGTTTGCTTTCATGAATTTGTTCTGATGTCATTGTTAGTGGTTGTTTGTAATTTATAAAACTGTTGATTTTTTTTTTCTTGAAAAATTATTACAGACAGGGGAAAAGAAAAACTTTATGGTAATACAGACAACAATGGAAAGCCAAATTGGTAGCTTCTTAAGTTTCCAACAAAACAGTTATTTGCAAATGACAATTATTACATATGCTGTGCCCTTACTCAGCATTCAGCCTTCTTCCATTGCACAAGTAGGTAGAGAAAATCTGGCAAAGAGGAGTTGCACGCAGGTTCTCTCTTAGCTAGGCATCTAGAACTGGGACTGGGTAGAAGCCAGAGAGTCCTGGAGGAGAAAACAAGGACCCTGTTCAAGATGGGAGAGTAAGGGGTGAGTTCATGAAAATAATACTTGTCTCTTCATTGTCCACCAATAAACTTGAACTTCATAGAAGAGCAAGAAGTTGTTTGGGTTTGTTAAAGCATTGCAAAAACCAATCCCTGCAACCCACCAGCTCTTTGGTATGCTATTAGAAGAATCAGACCTTGTTTATTGTTTATGATTGATGTTGATCACTGGCTATTGCACGTACTGAAACATTTTGTCCCCCTTGTTCTTTCAGATACTAGGAATAACAATGTAAGTCCTTGCAATCAAATGATGCCAAGGTGCTTGTGTCCTTCCACTGGTAGCAGGCAGAATAGGACAGATTTATTGTCTCTACACCATTTCCACTCTCTGTCAAAGGCAGTAATCACTAATTTGATCATCAGTGCTGGCAAATAAATGTTTTGTTTGTGGCTTTTTGGAATTACTGAAATGTATTTGTTTTGCCCCCACTCAAGACTCCTGTAACTTCAGGCATTGGCAAGTTTAAGGTCATGGGTGTTAAATGGAGATACTGACTCTGGAAAAACTTTTTTTTTTTTTTTAATCATTCTGAATTTCTTCTCTTGGGAAGACTATTTAGTATTCTAGGATTGAGAAATTAATCTGTGACCTAGGACAGCTAATGTCAAGATCTCCAGTGCCTCACAGGAGAGGTCACATGAAAAAAATACTTCCTGGCATCTTTGTCACTGCGCTAGTGATCCTCGCTTGTTTTCAGAGGCACGTTTGGGAGCTCTGTTTCTGGAGTGCTAGCACAGTTTATATTTTCAGGTGCTTTATTTAAAATAGTGCTTTATTTAGTCCAGCATTCATACTGAAAGCAGTGTCCAGTTTTCACAGGACAAAACTCTTGATAAAGCATTAAGTTTATCATTTTCTATGATGTCAGTCAAAACTATCTAATCTAGATTCATTAACAAGTTCATTAATGCTGCCAGCATTTCCTGTAACCAAAGTCATAAAAGCAGCAAAGCTTCAGTTTAGTAAGCATTTAATAAACAAATTCTAAGCTTTAATGCCACTGATTTCTCATTCATTTAATTCAACTGTATTATTATTTAATTCGGATAATGGTTTATATGCTTGTCGGTTGTGGGGGGTGTTAGTGCAAGGTTCAGATGTGAATTTATGGCATCTTTTCAGGCACGCTCAGGCTGTTGGCATGA